ACACACAATACATGCTCCTGAATCCCAAGAATCTCCAATACAAGATCATCTTTTAGAGCTAGTAATAGATGGTCCCTGGGCCAATCCTGGACCCTTCTCTTCAATAGATATGCTATAGATATAATATACGGTTAAGCCACATCTATAGTTGATTTCCTATGTTAAGTCATTCCATCTCAAGGCTTTAAATACAAATGAGAATTCCTAAATATTTCCCTCCAGTCCTGTCTCTTCTCTAAACAAACCCCTGGTTCATATACTCAGCTTAAATTAACACAAAAGTTCCATCATGTGAATTTCCTCTCAAACACTCTCTTCCCCATCTCTTTTCTGTGTCAGGAAATATCAATTCCTTTTCTTCCAATGTTCAGAATAAGACCTCAAAGCTGTCCATGTTTCATCCCTGCCTCTTGAACTATCCCACAAGTAAAGCCTATCAACTCTGAAGACATAACCTCCATCTTTATTACCATCCCAAACTATCCCCATCTCTCATCTGTGTTGTTATAATAGTCTCCTATTGAAATCTTTTCCCTTATTGGCCTCCCCACAGGTGTCATCTCCATACATGGGATTGTAAGCAGGAAGCAAATCATCTTATTCACTTCTGAGTAAAATCCTTGTTTCTTATCTTGCCCTTGCATAAATTTTCTTGTTTACTTCACCAATTATCCTTCTGCTAAGTTCTTATCACTCACTCTCATTGCCCTCAGTCAGTGCTCTCCTTACAATAAATGATACCAAATGGCCATGAATTTCTTTTCCTCTTTTAAAAATACAATATATTTTACACTCTCTTCTACACCAATATAATATACTTTCCATTGTTTTCAATGCTTACAAGGCATTCCATGGGTGAGTTCTCTAATTATTATGCATTAGAATCTATAATTTTTCTTGTGGCTGGTTACAAAAATTAACTTTAAAAGAATCAGTAGCCCTCTTATATACAAATGATAAACCCACAGAGAAATAAATCAGGGAAACACTATTTACAATAGTCACAGATAATATGAAATATCTTGGGGTAACTCTAACCAAACAAGTGAAAGACGTCTATAACAAGAACTTTAAGTCTTTGGAGGAAGAAATCGGAGAACATATCAGAAAATGGAATGATCTCCCATGCTTATGGATCAGTAGGATTAACATAGTAAAAATGACAATCTTACCAAAAGCAATCTGCAGATTCAATGAAATCCCCATCAAAATTCCAGCACAATTCTTTACAGACTGTCTTAGGCTTTCTATTGCTGTGACAAAACACTATTACCAAAAAAGCAAGTTGGGGAGGAAAAGGTTTATTAGGCTTATACTGCAGTGTTGCTGTTCATTACTGAAGGAAGCCAGGACAGGAACTCAGAACAGGACCCTGGATGCAGGAGCTGATGCAAAGGCCATAGAGGCGAGCTGCTTACTGTATTGCTCAACCCACCTTCTTATGGAAACCAAGGTTGGTACCACCTACCATAGGCTGTACACTCCCCCATTGATCACTAAATGAGAAAATGCTTTACAGCTGCATCTATGGAGGCATTTCCTCAACTGAGACTTCTTCATTAGAGAGCCTTCATTCAGTAACTGATAGAAGATACAGAGATCCACATCCAATCATTTGACAGAGTTCTGGAAGTCCAATTGAAGGGAGGGAGGAAAGATTGTAAGGGGGCTCAAGGTCATGACAGAGAAATCCACAGAGACAGCTGACCCGGGGAAGTAGGATTCTGGAAATATAACTAGGGAGCCTTCATGGGACCCACCCAGGTCTTCTACATGTGTGTGGCAGTTGTGTAACTGTTTGTTTGTGGGCCTCATAGCAGTGGGATCAGAACCTGTCCCTGATGCTTGAGCTGAGGTTTGGAAACCTACTTACCATGCTGGGATGCCTTGCCTAGCCTTGATGCCAGAGGAAGAGCTTGGTCTTGCCTCAACTTGACATCTATGGTTTGTTGACACCCATGGAAGGCCTGCCCCTTTCAGAAAAGAGAAGGAGTAGATGGGGGCATGAGGGAGGTGGAGGATGGAGAAAAATCTGTGGTTGAGATGTAAGTAAGTGAAAAAAATTAATTAATAAATAACAATTTAAAAAGAAATGTTTAAACAAAAGTAATGTATGTGATAAACAGAGCAAATGTGATTAAATATTAATATTTGGAGAATCTGATTGAAAGCTTATTGGGATAATTTTAAAATTCCATCAACTTCACATTAGACCAACAGTAGATTTTGTAAATGAATATAAACATCTGTATCATTCTAAAGCTGTTACCACAAGAATTGGAACTGATGAATCAAAGGTGTATAGTTTAAATTTTGAAAGATACTATTTTCTCTTTTATCCTTATAAGCCATTGAAAATCACAAGTGTCACAGGAGATGGTGTAGTTCCTGATACCTCAGTATCACTGCACACTGTCACTTCTGAATGTGACTGATTATTTAAGAAATGAGATTTCACTGTTGTTCAGGTTTGCATTCCTCTGATTCAAGGGTGGTTGAATATCAATTTACCAGTGTAAAAGCCATTTGAATTTCTTGCTCTTTAAAGTACCTGTTTATACACTTTGTTATTCTAAACATTGCTTTCCTAAATAATTTACAAGAGGTAATAGTAGGAAAGCTGTAGCCAATGTCACATTCATTCTTAGCATTTTCCCCATCATCATAGGTTTTGTCTTTAACTTCTGTTACATGTTCTACTTCTATGGAATCAAATAATTATTCAGTGTGAGGCATGATTCCATATCATCCTTTAAATACCCCTCTACCCAATAATACAAAAGTTTATGTATTGTTATGGCTTTCCTCCTCCAGAACTTTGATTGTATAATGTATAACATTTAATTCACCAAAGCTACTTTGCTTCCAAGAAACTTAAGAAAACCCCACTTATTGGTGAATGATAAGATGAGCCTGTTTAAAGCTACTTTTACATAAAGGTGTCACACTGATATAAGATAAACTAGGGCTAACTTGTAAGGCAAATTGTTGGCACTGTCTAGGTTTCAAACAGTTAACATTATACAGTAGTGTGATGTCTCTAGTTTGCTGAAGATGTTTGACTGATGTGGATCCCAAGAACAGGTTCATGGAATCTTTGCCTGTCCTGGGTCTTCTTTTTCAGTGCAGGAAAAAGATGTTGTCATCTTCCCAAGTAAGCTATCATTTCCTAGAAATAATATCTTAGAATAGATATATGCCTAGAGAAAAATCTGACTGCATCCCACTTAGATGGGACTGTAAGCGTGTCATTCCTTTTGGTCCTTTAAAACATGTGGGCCCGTGAGTTGTCACTCTCTGGAAGGATCCTGTCACTCCTTGTCAATCCATATTAGACAGCAGTGCTTTGTAACACTTTATTTCCTTCAAGGTGATTTACCCATTTTCTGCTAAGATTATTCTAGAGGATGTCATTACTTCTGTTGTGTCGCTCTTGTTATTTTTTTATTGCTAGAGAATATTGTCATTTATTTTCACTAATAATCCATCTCTATGGGAAAAGTTATATTAATGTTTTCATGCTGAGTAAAAGCTTTGGTTTAGATTGAGGAACATGGATGTAAGACTGTTACCATAAATAAACAATCAACCCTAAGAAAAGAAAAGATCAGCAAATCTAACACCACATTTTGCATAGAATATTTTAAAAGAAATAAGCCTTTGCTGAAGTATTCAGTCATATGAAAATTGATATCTTTGGATCACTGCATATTGGTTAAGAGGGACACTTTGGGCTCAGCCATTATCGGATGAGCAATATTAAATGTGTGTTATGTAGTCTTGAGTATCCCTTTCATCTCTAATAACACTACTAAATCCTAATATTGTGGTTATTTATTTACATAAACTCCTCGAAACAAGATGGATGCTGACACAGTTAAAGAATTCAAGAGGTATTATCCACCACTATCATTACCATCAAATAAGATTATAAAATGACATACCTTTTTAAATCATGAATGTGATCACATGTATTGCACAAATGCCCTTGACATGAGTATTGAAGGATGTTGGTGGTACCAAAGGCTTATTACTATTTTAACAATAAAATCTGTGCAACAATAATAAAGTAGAACTCACCCAATATGCCGCTTTCCTCAAGTCAAGCCACTCCACAAAGTGTCTCTACATTCAAATGATTATCTAAGATTTCACTAAATCAGATAATTTCTTAATTGCCTGTAAAAAGGTTTGTAGTGGGCCTGCTGTAATTAAGTATTTATTTCTCATGTCTTTGTTATTTTTGAACAACTTTGAAAATGCTTTGAATGCCTAACTCATCCTTGAGTCAGTCATTGGACAGCTCTTGATAAGGACCCTAAATCTCCCACCCCATGATTCCCTAATTCCTCTCCATCTCCTCTCTACCCAACTCCCCCAGTTCACATCCATTCACACCCTTACTATTCAAGTTAGGAGATTTGAAGTTCACTCCAATTCTTCTTGTTTTTCATCTCCATATACTGTGTATTTGACATTTTACAACAAAATCCAAGTTGCCAAGAAATAGAAACTATATGATTTTTCTGAGGGAGCTAAATATTATAATAAGCTAAATTAGCACAACATCAGGTATAAAAAAAACAGAAAAATAAATGGATTAAAATGAAGTACACACACATAAAATACCATGTACACATGTAAACACATACGTACATACCCATGAAAAGAAAGCAAAAAAGACCAAGAACAGAAAGATAAAACTTGCAAAACTGCCCTCCATTTCTAATTTCTTCAGTTACAGTTAGAATTACCACAACATACTGGAGACTGTCACAGAAACACCAAAGTTTACATAGGCATTATCAAAATGTATACTGTCATTTCAGACAATGAGCAACACTCAGCTGCATAAAGATTCAGGTATTTGGTTGAGGAGCAAGTGAGTGACATCCCTGTCAGATGGATTGTCCCAGCCCCTGGATTCTGTTCCCCCCAGACCCATTCCTCTGCTGCCCAAGCTCTCCCACTGCATCATCCTCCCCACAGCCAGTCCTTACCCCAAATCCAGCAGACTTCTTTGGCTCAGGTACAGTCCACACCAGTTGAAAGAAAAGGTACAGTCCACAGCAGTTAGAAAAACAAGCCACAACAAACAGAAGAACAGAAACCTCCTGCTACAGCAAAGTCTAAGCTAACCACAAGAAAACCAGTGCCCAACTTAGACAAAGACTTCTTGCTAGATCAGAGGTCAGACCGGGAACTAGAAATCCAGACCACAAGAACTAGAAGACCAAAAAGGAAACAGAAACCAAGAAACAAAACTTAAAAATCAGGATCTACACTTACACTCATCCCAAAATGAGATGCCTAAATGCCAGTGTAAGAATACAACAACAGCCAGGGCAATATGAGACCAGCAGACCCAGCTATCCTACAACAGCAAGACCTGAATATTCCAAGCAGCTAAAACTGAGCTGAAGCACTAGAAAATGATCTTATAAACAACTCTAAGAAGATAAGAAGGAACCCCAAAGAGAAAATGAATAACTCCCTTAAAGAATTTGAGAAAAAGACAACCAAAAAATTGGAGAAAATCAATATATCCCTTAAAGAAGGCTAAGAAAACCAAGAAAAAACAAACAAACAAACAGGTGAAGGAAACTGAAATAGAAGGAATAAAGAAAACACAAAATGAGAGAATTGTGGAAATGGGAAATCTGAGTAAATAAGCAGGAACTACATGTGCAAGCACACCAACAGAATCCAAAGATGGAAGAGAGAATCTCAGATGTTAAAGATATGATAGACAAAATAGATTCAAAGAAAACATTAAATCTAAAAAACCTCCTAATACAAAACTTCAAGGGGATCTTGACAGTATGACACAACCAAATGTAAGAATAATAGAAATAGAAGAATCCCACCTCAAAAACCCAAAAAATACATTTAACAAAATCACAGAAAAAAATGTTACTAACCTAAAGAAGGACATGCCTACAGAGGAATAAGAAGCTTACAGAATATCCAATAGATCAGAAAAGGAAATCACTTCAAAACACAATAATCAAAACACTAAATATACAGAACACAGGAAGAATATTAAAAGCTGTAAGAGAAAAAAGAACAAGTAACATATAAAGATAGACCTATCAGAATTACATCTGACTTCTCAACAGAGACCCTAAAATCCAGAAGGGCCTGAACTGATATCTTGCAGACTCTAAGAGACCACAGATGCCAGCCCAAACTACTATACAGCAAAGCTTTAAATTACCATATGTCAAGAAAACAAGATGTTCTCTGACAAAGTCAAATTTAAACAATATATATCCACAAATTTATCCCTACAGAAAGTAATAGAAAGAAAATTCCACACACACACACCACACCACACCACACCACACCAAAAAAGTAACAGGAATTAACATTTACTGGCCATTAATACCTCTCAATATGAATGGACTCAATTCACCAATAAAAAGATAACACTTAACAGAACGGATATGAAAACAGGATCTATCCTTCTGCTGTATACAAGAAACATACAGCAAAGATAGACATTAACTCTGAGTAAAGAGTTGGAAAAATATTTTCCAACCAAGTAGACCTAAGAAGGAAGCTAGTGTAGCTATCCTAAAATCTAACAAAATAGACCTCAAACCAAAAAAAAAAAAAAAGGATATTTCACGCTCATCAAAGGCAAAATCCACCAAGATGATGTCTCATATGTCTCATTTCTACAGAACATTTTGCTCAAACACAAAAGAATGTACCTTCTCAGCACTTCATTGAACCTTCTCCAAAACTGACCCTATTGACTGGGTCACAACAAAAGGCTCAACAAATAAAATACTGAAATAATCTCCTATATCTTATCAGATCACCACAGATGAAAGCTGGATTTCAACCACAACAGAAACTCGCAGAAACTGAACTGAACTGAACTAAATTTCCACTGTGTCAAGGAAAAAGTAAAGAAATTAAAGGCTTCTTAAAATTCAATGAAAATTAATGCACAACATACCCAAACTTATGGGACACTGTGAAAGAAGGGCTAAGAAGAAAGTTCAGAGTACTAAGTGCCTACATAAAGAATTTGGAGAAATCTCATACTAGCTACTTACCAACACACCTGAAAGCTTTAGAACATAAAGAAGCAAAGACACTCAAAAAGAGTAGAGTGCAGGAAATAATCAAACTGAGGGCTGAAATCATAAAATAGAAACAAAGAGGACAAAAAAAAATCAATGAAATAAAGAGTTGATTCTTTAAGAAAATCAACCATAGAAAAACCTTTATCCAAACTAACTAAAAGGCAGAGAGAAAAATATCCAAATCAACAAAGTTGGAAACAAAAAGGGGGATCTAACAACAGTCACTGAGGAAATCCAGAGAATCATTAGTTCATACTTCAAAAACCTGTACTCCACAAAATAGGAAAATCTAAAAGAAATGGGCACATTTCTTGATAGATATACTACATAATGAAATTGAATCAAGATCAAATAAACAATTTAAATAGATATAACACCTAAGGAAATAGAAATGTCATTAAAAGTCTCCCAACCCTACTGCCCACCCCCACCCCCACCACTCACTCCTGGAAAAGCCAAGAGCCAAACGCTTTTAGCACAGAAATATTGCGGGATATTTGTGCACTGTGTGGAGGTGTACTGCTGTGATTGGTGTAATACAAAGTTGAACGTCAAATAGGTAGGCAGGAGGTATAGGCAGGATTTCCTGGACAGAGAAAGGAAGAGGAGGAGGAATCTAGGCCATTGGGAGAAGCCAGGCCACATGGACAGGAAACATGAGAAGCAAAATGAAAGAAAGATAATGCTATGTGATAGGACATAGATTAATACAAATGGGTTAATTTAAGTAATAAGAACTAGTTAGGAACAAACCTAAGCAATCGGCTGAGCTTTCATAATTAATAAGAAGTCTCTGTGTCATTTATGGGAGCGAGCAGGTGGGACAGAAAAAGACAGCCAACATTGTGGGGAGCCACAGCCCCAAGATGGCGCCTGGCTGGATGCCAGGGAGACGGAGCTTAGCTGTAAACAAGCCTTATTTGGAAGCGCTTAGTGGATCTGGTGTGCCTCCTCCAGCTGTGACCTATCCGGGATCGCCAGGTGGCGTGAGCTCATTGGGTAATGAGCTTGCTTTTAAGGGCTTGCAGGGGGCTGGGAGAGATATAGAAGCAGAGAGAGAAGCTGATGTACAAGGTTCCTGAATAAACTGCTTGAAGAAGAGTCGTGGTCATGTCCTTCTTGCTGGTCGAGATAGACGTGACACATCAAATTAAATGGGGAGAAACTCAAAGCATTCCACTAACATCAGGAACAAGACAAAGCTTCTTCCCATATCTATTGAGTATTTTGCATGAAGTTTTAGCTAGAGCAGTAAGATAACTGAAGGATACCAAGGGGATACAAATTTGAAAGGAAGTCAAAGTGTCATTATTTGCAGGTGATATGATACTTTATATAATTGACCCCAAAAATTCTCCCAGGGAACTCTTACAATTTGTCCTACTTATGGGATATGCTAGGGTAAGGGTTGTATGGAGATTGTGGAAGAGGCCAACAAATGACTGGTCCAGTCTGAGACCCATGCCAAGAGAGTGAGCCCACCCTGACACTGCCTGGAGTGCCAGGCCCTAGAAGGTTAGGGCAGAAGCAAACATGACTGGAGAAAGAATATCAATATAATGATGCCTTATGGTATTCTGCTATGCTCACAGATTGGTGCCTACCCCAATTGTCATTAGAGGAGCTTCATTCAGTAATTGATGGAAACAGATTAAGAGAACCACAGCCAAACATTAGGGTTAGCTCAGGGAATCCTGAGAAGATGAGGAGAAAGCATTGTAGGATCCAGGGGAGTCGGGACATCACAAGAAAACCCACAGAATCAACTGACCTGGGCTCATACAGACCCAGAGTCAGAACTGATAACCAGGGAACCTCCATGGGACTGACCTAGACCCTCTGCATATATGTGACAGTTATGTAACTTGGTCTTCTTGTGAAACTCCTAACAGTGGAGCAGGGGTTGTTACTCTTTGGCTGGCTTTTGTGAATCTATTCTTCATACTGAGTTGCTTTTCCCAGCCTTAATACAAAGGGAGGTACTTTGTCTTAAGGCAATTTGATATCCTATGGAAGGCCTGCCCTTTTTTGAACAGAAATGAGGGAGTAGATTGGGATTGGGAAGAGGGAAGGTGGAGAGGGGAGGGAATGGGAGGAGTGGAGGGCAGGGAAACTGGGGTCAGGATGTAAAATAAATAAATTTAATAGTAAAAAACGTTTCAGGTATATATTCATGGGCACTTTCAATAGCAGATCTAATGTATGCTAACGAATTGGTAAAGAGGAGGCTTTAATGAAGAATTAAAACTAAGTATTTTATGATTTATTGATTTATAATTAAAAACAATGAAATGTACAGATTTATAAAAGTACCATTCACTTTTATGGCATGCACCCATCTGACCCCCAGCATTCAAGAAGTTCCCAGTGCCTCTTCTACTGATTAATCTCTCCCACCTAGAAAGATTTTTGATTTCTGTCTTTGTGGAATAATTTTGTGGTCTGGAATTTCATTAATTCCATTAAAGACAGCATGTGTCTTTAAAAATACATTCATGTTGTATTTTTTCTGTAATTCATTGATTAGTAATAGTTTACTGGGTGAATATAACAATAAATGATTCATTCTCCCATTAATTAGCAAAGATTACTGGCATTCTTCAGTTTTAAATTTTTGTGAGTATAGTAACTATAGTCATTCTTCTGTTAGGTTTCTTTTCATTTATGTTTTCATTTCTCTTGCTTAAACAGAAAAAGTACAATGTTGGACAAATTAATGTTTCTTTCTTCTTCATAAGAAACTGCCAAACTATTTCTCCAAATTTGTTTTTCATTTTACTCCCTACTAGCATAGTGAGAATTTTGAAGCTTCACATACTTGACACTGGTAACACAAGTTTTTCTATTTTCTAGCTCTAATTTGGGGTTGAAACATCCTCATCGTGGTTTTAATTTGTATTCCTGGTGCCTCATGGTGGTGGATATTTTAATACTTTTCTTAGACTATCAACAATGATTTTTTTTTTTGCTTTTAAACTAGGGTTTTTCTTTTGACTGGATTTTAGGGCTTCTTCATATACAAATATATTCATATATTACAAATATATTACAAATATATTATCCCAGCATGTGACTTCCTAATGATGTCTTTGGAAAACAGAAATTTTATTTTGATTAATT